TTCCGCCTTATATACAACTTGTATGATAGACAAACGTAAGCTTCAGTTGTCACATTTCTCAGCTTCAATTCAGTTTAAACACGCTTTTAACCTTATATTTATAGAAATCCTTTAAAGCTCTACTGCTGCAAATCAAACATTGAGATCTCTGTGCGGACATGAAAGACACCAGCTTCGCATATGTGTGAAACTTTGACTAGCTTTACTGGCATTCCATAAAATTATCCATGCATTAAAACATCCTCATGTACTGCTTGATACCATTTAGTGGGTCAGCAATAAACTATAAGCAGGTCCACACCTGACTTCCGCCACAACAAATTGATAAAGGCAGATGCATTGTATTAAACCTCGTTAAAGTAATTTAAATCCGTTGAGTCTGGTCCATATCACTTCGGATATCAAAACGGCTTACTTTCTGCTAGGCGTTACGCAGAACTGATAGACCTGCCCGGCTCTACAGCTGAAGGCGGCAGCAGCACTGACGTGCGATGAGGTGAAAACCGCAAGGCGTCGGGACCCCGCAATTTGCGCCGCAGCCGCAATCGCCACAGTAAATTACAAAACAAACAAGGGTGAAATACTGCATACAGCTCACCCCTGACGAGATCTGCGCCTTTTGCAGCCAACGTGTTTGTGCAGCTATATTTAAAGTCGGTTGATTGAGGAAATGTTGAAAACAGCAGTTAGGGTTTTCCCTAATGAGACCCCTAGAGGGACGAAGAGGCAGTCTGAGGGTGAGGGTCTTCGCGAGAGGGGGAGGGACATCGACTCTTTCAGCGGTGATTGCGGCTTCGCCAAAAATAAAAGTACATTATTGTGTCTTATCATTCGGTAAAAAATGAAAGTCTAGATGTTATAACGTTTTGTAATTCCAAAATAACACGATTGAACTGGAGGCAGAGTCCGCTCAGAATGGTCGAAGAGGAGGGGACTTGTTTTCGCTAAGGAAAAGCGCGGACCTCGAAGTTGCTATAGGGGTACCATAGGGTTTTAATCCAAAATTAAAACCCCCTTTTTGTTACGATAAGGGCCTTGCGTCGATATTAAAATATTTTTACATGCAAATATAGGAAGGAGAGGAGTAATGCCTTTCTACAAACGTCACACCGGTTTGGCATAGCTCGTCTTTCACTTGTTTAGCATCCTATCGCGCCATGCTGTACCTCTGTCAGGAAGCAACAGCTGCAGAACACAAGAAACCAAATATATTTCAGAAACGTAAACCGAAGTTCCACAGGTTAAAAAAAAAGTATGATTTGTCAAGGTTATATTCAGACTTCTTTCGATCTGAGACGTTATTGTGGTTCGTGCATATTGCATTTGGACTGCCTTCGCTTCCCAAGTGACTCACATAAACCTGTTCGTTTAAACAATGAATATGGGCTATTGTTAAATCCACCTCCTACCTTTATGGGTGTTGGATTCGTAATTTGGCTTCAAATGATCAGAATTCTTTCTGTTGGTTAACTTCGTTGTGCTATAGTGATGACCTTCCTGTCTATTTACCTTTGCTGAATTTATATCAGGTTTATCAAACACTTCTCTCGTGTTCAAATATTTAGCTCTGCATAACTTTATTTATTTATACGAAATTTAGTTTGAAAGGAGATCAGAGAGGAAAGGAGGGGTTTGTAACAAGAGTCTGACCAAGTGACCCAAAGGCTGATTATATGTCATTAACTGGAGACTCCACGTATCCAAATTACTAAAAGAACCTCCATTCAGCCAGATGAATTACATTTGCTGCACACATACAACACTTAAACAAATATAAATCATGTTCTCTCCTGTGTGGTTAGCAATAAACAATGTTAGTATTTCATTTGTGATTTCTATTAAGAATATGCAGGCTATTTAAAAAGTTACACGTTTCATTAAAGTATGACTTAAAATGAAGACGAAGAAAAATTATGCGTCCTACTAATGGGGGATTTTAAAAGATGCTTAGCTTAAATACTTCTTCGTTTAATATACACGTTTTTTGTCATACGTAAACAGGCAAACACACAAACATCAAAACTTGTGTGTGTATATATAGGCCTATTACAGATTATAATTCTATATATGCATGCAAAGCGTTCTTAACCGGAATGTTACAATGAACTGGTTTCTTAATGAAAAAGAAACATACGTTAGAGTTGCGTTTTAAAACTATTTTTGATTTTTTTATCAAAACATTCTCATTTGGCTGCTTCTGTTTTGACTGAAACAAATATTAATAATTTGTTATTAATTATAAGAAAAAATAACGAATTAAAGATACAGCATGGATTATTTGAATAACGTGAATTGTACTATTGTTTTTAGGAGTATAAGTACATTGATTAAGGCTAGTTTTTATTTTTAAATTAACTGCTGAAATATTGCTGTTTTTTATTATGTAATGATGGCACTGAATTCTTTCAGAAAAAAAATATTTGTATATTGCTTCTATTCATTTGTACGTAAATACGTGAAGAATTAATTTTTCGCTGTGCTGGTTTTATGCAGCTGAATTTGAGATATTATATTTGACATTAATCAATATAGTTAGGTTGGGTTTCGCATTACTTTTTCAAATATATCGATTTTAAAATGCACATCTGATACGTACAATTATCCAGATAAATAATATAAAGTCAATTTTATTCCTGTGCATTTGTGGATAAAGAAACTGTTGCAAATAATTAATTCCAAATAATTTTGTTTAGACCACATCAGGAAGGAGAAAAATTGAAACATTTTTTTAAAATAGAAAAATATTTATAAAACCCTTTATCACAGTCATTTAATTTTATTTATTATTTGCTTTTGTCTGCCCACGCATAATCACTGTACAATGTTTCATGTGTAAATCTGAAGGCGCAGAAGCCAGTTTGTTAAAATTGCGCCCTCCTTTGGATCATTATAACATCTGAAGACATTGAGTTGATCCCTCGAAATAATTTCTCTACATTTCAAAAATATCAAACTGCGTCTTTCCACATTCGACTAATGCATACTTATATGTCTTCTGAAGTCAAAGAGATAATTAAATATCTGTAAACACATAAACGACTGTTGGTAAGCAGTTATGTATAAAATAGAAATTATGAAAAAATCGATCCTTTTGGAAGAAAATTAACTGTTTTGTTAGTCTTAAAATACTGTATAAGACATGAAGCAATTCTTCAAGAATGTTAAAAGTTAGACGTAATTTTCCAGGTTTTAATTTCGCTTAGCGATATCATGTTACTTCAAGATTAGGCTACTAGACCACAAGCCCGTGTATATTATTTTCCATAACAGGTTTTATCAAAGGTAAACGTGATGAGAAAACCTTCTTTAAAGTGTAGCAGATAGATAAATATGTCAGTAAGCTCAATTCATCGTTGTCTACCTCACAAATGCAGCATTTTACCTGAATAAAAGGGTCTGTATAAAGTTTCAGTTCTACTGTCGTGTAGCACTTTCTGGAGGAAAGCAGTCCCTTTCCCATGGACATGCACGATGCTAGATCCATCAAATTAATAAGGATAACTGATCTATCATAAATGTTTTGATGTATAGACGACAAAATCTAAAATAGCAGTAATCCGTAAAAGCAGGTGCTCAAGTAGCTAACTAAAACAATTGCTTGCCGTTTATTTTGCAGTTCAAATAAGGCCTACCAATTCTTACACAGTATAATCTCGGACGCCCTATTTCTATACGTTTTAAACTGCACAGAAGAGTCATTTGTAGTCACAGATGGACACAGAACCCTAAAATAGAAAATTATATATAAAATCAAAATCATTTACGCTACATGTAGATACCCCCAGTGTGTATGTGTGTAGAGGTATATACTGTACGTGTTCGTGATTATATATATATAATAATGCACTAGAGAAATAATGAGACACTGAGTGGAATACTCGGTCATATTTCGAGTAATGCTGAACTCGTCGACACGTAGGTAGCGACATTTAGGCACCTTAAATCTGTAGTACAATTTAGTTGATTTATAACCGACGTGCAGTTTCTCGCTCCTCAAACTCAGATGATGATATCGACGCTGTTCAGTGATACAAATTCGCAAGCGCTGTCTTGATTTGGAGCTGTTTTCATTTGTACTGGCTATACGCTCTTTACCATTCCAAAACGTTCTATAAAAGAATACCTAAAATATGTATTGATATATATTTAGCATCAGATACCTTGTGTGGACGGCCGTATTTTTTCTTGCTTTTTCACGATTCGCGTTTCGTGGCAAACTTTAAATATTGCAAAGCTATGTGTAATTATCTTAACGGGGCCTACTTTTCTTCATAACACACATGATCTCCCGCAAAGAAATGGGTTGAGTTTCTTTCACGTTTATTGATTAGCAATACATTGTACAACTCAAGCCTTCGCTCGCCGCCCGGTGCCTGGGTGAGTCGTGAGCCCCAGGAGCCACAACAGCAACAAAAACAACAACTAGAGCATCAACAGCAAAAATAATAGTAATACTTTAAACTTAGCGCGAATATATTGAAGGCTGTTCAAAACACTTTAGAGGACAGCACAGGGATGATGCGAAATGCATTCTGAATGTGTTTTGCGAGTATTAGTCTTTATAATATAGAGTCTGTGCAGAGAGAGAATCTAAACAGTGTGATAAATATGTATTATGTGAAGACTGTGTGGATATCTATGCTTAAACACTTGGCTTAAAGTGGATGTATACTTATACAATTGTTTTGATTGTATGCCCAGCCCAACTTACTTTTTTTACTATCTGCCTTAAAATCCCAAGATGTTTTAAAAGTTCAACCGGAAAGCGAATATACATAAATACATAAGTGACACTTATTATTATTATTATTATTATTATTATTATTATTATTATTATTATTATTATTTATTGATGGACTTCATCAGCCAATCCTTAAAGGTGCGATTGGAAATTAGGAACGTAAACACCCTGTACTGCCGCTTTCAGTCCCTCCTACTCTGCGATCTGATTGGCCTGCAGACATTTTGACGACATATATTAACCCAAGCAGCTCTAAAGATGAAGTTGTGACATGGAGATCAAACTGAGAAATTCTTACCGTGCTGAAGAGTGAAGCCGGGCATTGCAAATCAGTGACTTTGGATTCGGAGAATACTGTTTTTAAATGCCGCAGCTGTTCGACCGGAAAGTGGGTTTAAAAGATATTCCGTATTCGTGAGGAATTCGTTTCCAGCTCTCATGAATGCCCTCGATAAGAAGGAAAGTATTTTAAGAGACTCAATAATGCAAAAGAAAAGCTTACACGTTGGAACTGGACAATGGAGAAAACTAAGTGTAAGTAATTGACCGCAGTTTTTGTTTTCTAAAGATCGTCATTTTTTTTGTTTCCCCTTGTCCCGCAGTTAGAAGAAAGGTGAGCTTGGAGATCTATTTATTGACCACCAACATGCACTGCTGTCATTAGATTATCGGAGCTAACGGACAAGTAAAATGAGGCTGCATTAGGTTAAAAAAAAAACAGAATCGCGATTGGCCATTCGTTGACTTTGCACATTTAATTTTATGGCGAGCTTCCTTCACCCAGACTTCGCGGAGTCCCGTTAAACCGATTTTTTTTTTTTTTTTAAAAAAAGGAGACGCATTCTCTTGTCGAGGTCGGCTACAGATCGGCTCGGTGCGCTTTAGAATGAGTTTGGTTGGTGGATTCCCTCACCACCCAGTGGTGCATCACGATGGCTACTCCTTCGCTGCTGCAGCCGCTGCCAGCCGCTGCCATGAAGAGAACCCTTATTTCCACGGGTGGCTCATTAGCCACCCAGAGATGTCCCCCCCTGACTACACTATGGCACCGTCGTACAGCCCCGAATATGCCAACGGCGCGACAGCTCTTGACCACTCGCACTACGGGGGTGTTCCTGGGGCCGGGGCAGTTGGGCTGGGACCCCGTCCCGTGAAACGGAGGGGCACGGCCAACCGCAAGGAGAGGCGCAGGACTCAGAGCATCAACAGCGCTTTCGCCGAGCTGCGGGAGTGTATTCCCAACGTGCCGGCCGACACGAAACTGTCCAAAATCAAAACGCTTCGGCTGGCCACCAGCTACATCGCCTACCTCATGGATCTGCTGGCCAAGGACGACCAGAACGGAGAGGCAGAGGCCTTCAAAGCGGAATTCAAAAAGACCGACGTGAAGGAAGAAAAGAGGAAGAAAGAACTGGTAAGGAAAAATGCAGCCCCGACAAAGCAATATTTCAGCTATCGGAAGGTATATGGCGTGACGGCCATTTCTTCTGAACTAAAAAAAAAAACAACAACACACTTTTGCCAGCGGGGAAAGTCTTGTTTTCAACGTCTAGGCACAAACACAATGCCTTTTAATTTTTTATTGGTATGGCAGTTGTATGCAGATACATATTATTAAAACACTGGAGTAACAGTCTATAAAAATTAAAACAAATAAGCCCAGACATTAACTGTATATTATTTATTGTATTATATTAGGAATAAATAGTAACAAAATTCTTAGCCTGTGTTTTCGAAATTCCTCGGTTGTCGTTTTTTTTTTACGGTGTGTTCAATGCAAATATTTGCGTACGTTATTATTAACCTTGTTACTGCTACTACTGAATTGATGTTGGTGAATTTGGCCATTTCGAGAAAATACAGTAATGGACACTATGTCCTCTCACGGGCAAAGCTGGAATGTACATTACGGAAAATGTACACGTCAAACGAAAAAGGTTTAATTCTAAATCCAGATACTTATAACTTTGGGGGAAAGTGGGCCACACACCGAGATGTTAGATATTAAAATGCGGAAGCTACGAATTGCAAGTACGCACACAGAATCATTTTTGTTCTTAAATAACGCATATATTACGCTTATTTTTTTCTTCTTCTTTCACAGAATGAAGTTTTGAAGAGCTCTGCGGGTAGCAATGACAAAAAAACCAAGGGAAGGACTGGGTGGCCTCAGCATGTCTGGGCGTTGGAACTCAAACAGTGAAAGTTTTCCTCCCGAAAAGGACTTAAAAGGAAAGCCTTTTAGACTCCTTCTCAAATGTACACTACAAACGTTATTTTTCGGAATATTTATGTGCAATTTTCCCGCCATGAAGAGTGGATATTTGAAGAAAACCATTCCATTTTTAAGAAGAGAAGACCTGTTTGGTAAGGGATTGTGTATGTCGTTTCATGTGGTGAATGTTTGTTTCATTGTTGAAGTGTAGAAAAGCCAAACAACGACTTTGGCACTAAAGTGTAAATGAAGTACAAGTTGGCTCTTTCTGGATATAAATATCATTGGAGTTTTACTGTTAAATATCTTGATCCAGTTCAAGTAATATTTCATTTGAAAATGTCATTTAGTGTTCTATTGTCATATTTTTGTGGTCGTCCAGTATTTGATGATGTTTTAAACAGCTGTTTAGTCTGTGCACTTCCGTCCAGAAACTTGGAGCTTTAATAATATTTGGAGATGTAAACAATGTAATTAATTCAATAAACCACTGTGTTTTTTTTAAACAAGCATAGACCCATTGTTGTATATATTAATATAACAAAGGTATATGTTGAAATGCTGACTAATTTAAAACACAATAAACCAGCTTATACCCCATGCATTGTTACTTAATCATTTGTTCTGCGTTTCTGATCAAAACCACAAAATGCCTGTCTTAAATTAAAAATGTGATTTTTGTTTCAAGCATTCTCCAGCTCTCACTGATATTAACAGAAATCCTGAAAGGAACTGCTGCTCGATTCTTACCTGTGCTTTCGCGCTTCACGCTATTTTAACGCAGTCCCGTGTTACAGATGACAGTATTAAAATCTTTGCAGCCTTACTTATCATGATGTGACAGTTAACTCAAATAGCACTCATGCGATGTATCTGGAACAACCCTTAAAATAGACTTTTAAACATTCCCACGCGTCAGATATTTGAACTGGTTGATGTGGATGGCGGTGTGGGGGCTGGGCTGTCTGGAAACATAGGTGATCATGTAACAGGTAATTTTTACCTTTAAGAGGAAACACTGAACAGGGGAGCAAAATATAGATTGTGGGATATAGAAGATTTACAACCAGGTTGTCAGAAGAATATTAACTTTGTGGTCAGCAATATTCTCAAGGGTTATAATCTACAAATACAATATAAACAGAATTGCCGTGTGAACGAGATCCAGGACTGACTACTTGCTCTGCAGTTTGCACACTGAATCTATTACATATAAAACCTAATTGAAATCTGTAGAAAATGTTTTTTTCAATGAATGTGCCGTCTTCATTCGCTTCAATAATGTGCTTCCTGGCGTTGATTCAATAATGTATTAACTTAATTAGTGACGAACAAATACTGAAACGATCTGGTATTGTTAATTCATATATACACACAATTATTATCTTGAGAAAACAGCAATACAATAGGAGTTACCCGCTTTACACGTAATCTTCGAAAATGTAGTCATTTGCCCAGTGTAGCAAAAGCTGCCCAATTCCATAAAATGTAAAATTGTAATTCAATGTAACTCCAAGGCCGGGAGGTTACAACTTGAGACAGGCGTAGCCTACCTTTTTTGATAGGATCGTATTCTCGACGTAAACGTAATCCTCTTATTTTAAAAGCGCCTATTTCTTTTAATATATATGGTCATTTTAGGAATGCAAAGAATTTACGCATCTTTTTTGTTAAAATAGTCAATTAAAATTCCGCCATTCGAAATTTGGTTATTCGTACATGTCTTTTGGTCCTAGTTGAAATAAAAGAGACCCGTATTATCGAAGTATACCAACAAGCCTATACCTGTATATGAGGCATATTCCTGTATAAGCATGTCTATACTGAATTACATTTTAAAATCATATATAAATTCTTCTAATGATAGATGTGTCATTGTATTGTGTTTAATTGATCATTATGGTAGATTCTACCTTTTTAAAAAGAGGTAATCCTTCTCCTAACTCAGATCACAAGAGCGGTAGACAGGCCGGAGCCTGAAAAAATGTAGTTTTTGACATTAAAAGCTAAATGGGAAAGCGGGATAGGAGAAGGTAAATTAATAGTGTTCTGGGATGTCAGTATCGTGGCCTCCGAGTAAGCTCAGATGTTGTAATGACTGATAACATATTTAGTAGAAAGACTTTTTAATACATAGGTTATAGGCCTTTGCGTATCAGTATAACTTCATTCTCATCCGTCTTTGGGAAACGTATTTGTATTACATAAGCAAGCATCATTGTCTACCATTTGTAGACAATTTACCATTTGTTTTTTTGTATTTTAAATTTAAAATATCCTGATGTAATTCAAATATATATAAGCCGTCCCACAAGTGTGAATCTAAAAAATGGATTTTAGTGTCAGTGGCGCATATTATTATTATTATTATTATTATTATTATTATTATTATTATATTTAGTATTTTAATGTTTCCTCATTTTTGCGAAGTGAACAAAAAAAGGACTTTATTGGCCAGTTATTAAGACCAGTTCATTCAATACATAATTTTAAAACAAACACACCCTTCTTTAGTATTTTATTGTAATTAAAATGACAAAATGTTACTTACAATTACAATTGTTTTCTTTATATAGCTTACAATTTACAGAAGGGAGTATTAGCCTTTTTCTTTGCGGTGCTCTGTGGTCGTTTGCGTATGTGTTTTATTTGTTTAAAAGTGTCTGTACACTTCTGTACACTATTGAGCCTGTTGGTAACCAAATATGCGATCGTGTGCCCAATATATTTTAAAAGTGTTATGAAGTCATTTGAAATAAACACTATTAAAAAAGATAACGCAAAAGCGATGATGTAAAACAAATCCGGTTGCACAAGATAAACGGTCCTTACATTAAATTAGCAGGTTCGGTTGGTCTCCTGTATGATCAGATAATTGTAGATAATTTGTTATCGGTGTCAAGATGGCGTCCAAGATACACATAACGGGCTAGTCTCTTTCGATTAAAGGAGCAGATAATTCTATGACCTTATTATGACCTACTGCTATTACCAGTTACAGAAACAGCGAAAAATTTGCCATAAACGTGTAAGGCAATTGTTTTTCTTAACAGTAATATAATTGCTTGTTAACTGAATAAATGGATTTATTATTCCTGTTTTTTTTTTCTACAGTCTTAAGACAGGCCTCTGCTTTAAATAGCCTACCATACAAGGTATTGTTCAGTAGTACAGTAATACTTGTGTATATTTTGGAAGTGCCAAAGATGATAGGATACTAAAATGACTTCCATTCATTTGTACTGTACGTATCCAAGAGGTTTAACAGACCCTAGAGCAGTTATCCTGGACTTCGGTAGAGGCAATAAAGTAGGTCTAACAATAGCAACCCGTCTAACCTTGACTGTGCGCTGCACCGCCTCGAAGCACATTTGCACCTTTAAGTAAACACGAACTATGCTGCAGCCTATGTAATATATTATTGACTCCACGGAATCCGCCTTCGCGCTAATGCAAGAAGGGTCACGACGCACGACTGTTTCCGAAATGCCCTTCATCGAAATCGAAATGGCAAAGCGACACGTGCGAATTTAAGGAAGTCTAAGGTAACAGACAGTAGAACACAGGCACCGTATAAGATCCTTCTTTCTGGTATTACAAACATCTGTGAACGATTAGTGCGCTGGGCCTTCCTCCAGTTCCTTTCTGTCTTTGCAGCGAGAGCCTATAGACATGTTGACGTCAGATCAGACGACAAGGAGCCATCGAGCTCCAGCATTGGGTGTAATCAACAGTGCAGCATCCACTTCCAGCTGTAATCCAGTCCACAATCTGGTATGCGGATAATTCTGCCTTTAAGGCGTTTTATGGCAAAGGCGTTTGAATCTTGTTATTTGCCCAATCCTTTTTTTCCTATAGAAATTAAATGCAGCACCAACAGGTTTAGTCGATCGTAAAAACAGAACCTTGAAACCAGTATAAAATGGCTGGTATGGAAAATGCTTCGTTTTAAACCTAATTTAGAAGGAAAACGCCTTTACACGGCTGCTCGACCTGTTTTTGTGTTAAGTGAGCTGTGTCTTTTAAAAAAAACTAAAAAATAAAAAAACATAAACCGTGGTACTATTGTAACGACTAAGGAATAACTCGCTAATTAAACGCACTCCGCTCCTGATCAATCGCCACAGCAGTACGACAGAAAGCTTTGCACTGTGAATTTCAGTTAATTGATCATCCTGGACTCACAATCCAAATCCGGTTCTCGTTTCTGTTTACAAAAACCGACTGTGTATTGTTTGCAGTGGCTATATGGCGCAAATCACAACAGGATATTGTTATTTTAAAATTAAACACATATAAATACTCCAAACTGTCAAAATTGGCTAATTAGATTTTTCTGATTACACTTGTCTTTAATGTGCCAGACACGCCATAAGAGGTAAAGCACTACATGAAAAAAAGACAGTCACAAACTTCTGAAGGGCGTGGGAAAATGTAAGTTAGGAACTCACTACAGAAAATTAATGAAATCATAGATCGTCATAACTGTTACAGTATTTAAGCCACCATGCTACGTCATTTATAAATGGGGGCAGTTTTAAAGTACTAAAATGTACATCTTAAACTGAATTCCTACAGTGAATTAAAAATTTAAGTGTCCTCCAAAAACACAATTAATAATGTATGGATACATTCGCAGACAGCGGCTGGTAAAAGGAAAACTCTATACGAGCACGAATGCGAATTTAAAGTCATATATATACGCATAGGCGAAATGTTTCGTTTCAATCGTGTAATCAATTTTAGAAGAAACGGGTTGCTTATTTAAATACGCTCATTATTTTATTTTTTTAATGTAAATATACACGATCAGAGGTCAGTAAAACAATTACGTTTTTTTTATTTTTCAAGGCTTCAGAATGTAAGATTTCGTAGCGTACTTGTCGTTTAGATCGGCATTTTATTTTTGGTGAAACTTGTATTTAGTACTGTAAAGGAAAGGCGGCCTGCCCTTTTGCATCTTTATAGCTGCGGGGGGGGGGTTAGGTGAGATACCGCTCACCCATTGCTTTCCAAAGGATTTATTCTTAACTCATACTTTTCATGAGCAGCAGCTAAAATTCATTTAAGTCTTCATCACTCAAATGTTATCTTTTCGGGTCACAGGCTGGGTAATACTTTTAATATGTTCGTATTCTTATGTCAATGATTTATTCAATGAGTGTATCAATAGCCTATGTTTTTAAATTATTTCTGTGCTCTTTATAAAATTATTTTTGTATGTGTTCATTCAAAAACATTTGAAAAAACATTTTCAAAAGGTTTTTCTCTATCCATTACCAGTACTTAGTCTTGTTTTCTTGACTTCTTTAAACCTGTGTTGTATTACAAAGAAGCATGCGCTTTTTCAGGTTCATTTGGTCTAAGGTTGGAATAAACCACTTATTTAAATTATTTGTATTTTTTACGCTGCTCGCAGTACCCTCCGACATAATGCGTCTTACAGCTCCATGGCGTGTTTTAAGGGAAGTGCACATTTCCATTTAGAATTTTTCAAGAAATCTCAAGTGCAAAGCGGGGGCAGAACTTTCTCTTTTTGAGCTGTCCCGGGTGTGGGAACACTGGTATCAGTAATACGCGGTAAACAGAAATCAACCACCTTTTCTAAAATCAAGGAACAAGTTGGAAACTAGAGGAGGATTATTTTATCTTTACTGCGGTTATGTGGTACGAAGGAGCAGACCAGACAGTATTTGTAAGAAGTTTTTTTGGGGGGTTGTAGTTGCGGAAGATCAGGTCTGTGCCCTATAGTGCTGTCAGTTGTGACAGATCCCAGATGGAGCCGCTACTGTATGTGAGATTGAGTTTCTCACCAAAAACTCACTCTCTCTCCAAACCGTCTTCAAAATCCTTCTCCGTGTACTACAGGTTGCTTCGCTTGATATCAACAAACTTAAATTGTTTCAGCTTCTAAAAAGAACGACGTACATCTTACAGCGCTGGCTGTGCTGCGGGTTAAAAATATCAGACCGAATAACTCACGCCAGGACTAGTTAATATGTGCAATCGACTGTTCTTCGACAGAAACTAAATCAGCGATGCACTGGTAGGTGAATTATTTATTTCTGCTTTCAGACACATGCACAAAGAGGAATTTACTCGTCATAGTGGTAAATCAATTAAAGCGTATATACGTTTTTTTAATAACTTAATGGTAGTGTAAAAGTGTAACAATCTGAATAAAATATTGCCTGCCTTACAATTATTTTATTTGTGTTATAAAAAATAATTTCATTTTTCTTCGTCCTGTATCGAACCGACACTCGTCCGTGGACAGGAAAACCTGCGAAGATTAATTTATCATTGCTGGAACACGTCCACGCAAACAGAATATTTCCGTGAATCTTGGCTGAATTCGGGGGTTTGAACAACAACAAACAATACGTGAGAAAAAATAGCTTTCCAGACTGTGATTAAAAATAAAGTTCACTTGTAGTAACACAGTAAAATGTCTGCAGTTTTGTAAGTTTGCAGTTCTTATTAATTGATAAACATAAGGAAAGGTTTCACAGGGAAACCCATTGGGAATTTACCCTAGCTCCATGGATTCGCGGTTCTGTAAATTTGAAATTTAAGCGATGACTCATTCTTTTTTTTTTGTTGCTTTTTATCCCTTTTTGTCATATGTTTCTATTTCTTTCTCTTTGTTACTTTAGCCCAAATGACTGTGTATTCAGCTAATGGAGTACTAAAACAGAAGAAGTCCGAATTTAAAAGTTTTTTTCAGCCCACGGGAGGCTTAAGTTAAAAGAAAGAAAAGCTGTCTAAATTCATCCTATTTCGTGCTTGAGAAAATGGGAAGTCAAAAGAGATTGTAAACGGAAACATCTATCGACATATGAAGTTTCGACCAAATCTAATGTGGGATAAACATTTACGGGGGGAAAAAAGTATAGAAAACGCAGAGCTGCAGTATGAAACTCACACGGTCCCTGTGCTAGATCGTGACAATTTACGGGGTGTAGACCTCTGGTTACACCACAGGCCTGAAGCGCAGCGCTTTGTTCCCAGATGACTTAAGAACAGTTCGGAATTGAGTGGAAGGGATGTAGATATAGGCATCCATTGCAGTCAACATGTGGACCTCCTAGGTGAAAACTTCTACGTGACTTTCAACAGGCTTTTACGTCACTTTCAGTGCTGTAAACTTCGCCTACATCGACGCGTCCACACTCCCGAAGTGAGAAAAAGAGGCTCGCAATCAACCTCTTAATAATGTTTGCGTTTAAAATCTGAGTTATGGTACCCGAAAAGGGTGTTGTTGGTGAACGGCCTTGTTAATGAGAGCTTGCCTCTCTGTGAATTAGAACGGAGTTTTTTTCTTTCCCGGCCAGACCCCCAAAAGAATCTATTACCGCGCCAGTCCCGTTGAGCGCTTGTTCAAGCGCTGGGAGACCTGGAGACCTCCCAAGTGGATAAGTACATAGGTGTCATAGCGGGGACTGTGCACTCTCCATTTCTGATAGCCTCCACTGAGCCCCCACTCCGCTGTGCAGCCCGGCAGCGAAGTAAACACGAAATGTTTAGCTCCAGGAGAATAAGTCCACACATTTAACATCTGCTTGAAAATATTCCTCCCAAAACTCGTATGATGTATTTGTAAAATCACGTTCACCCATTGAAAACATATTGCTAAATGCAAAGGGAACGCAGTAGGCTTTTGTTGTACTTCGATGATCCTGAGGATAAAAAGATGGGGTTTGGAAAATGGGATATTTTTAAACTTCGCTGAAGTCTCTGAAATACATATAAATACACCATTCACTTACCACACCCCTCTTTTGCTAAGCAGCACCTTTTATGGGCGATGTTGGATGTGGCGAACTAGACGCACAGGAAAATGTCCTATTGAATTAGTAGCAGAGGTCAGTGTACAGTATATTTCAATGTCTTCGGCTCGCTTCTTTAACTAGGGATGAGAGCGCGTTTGCAATATAATAAAGGATGGTTTTGAGCCAAACAAAGGACAAGACGTACTACAGGCGCTGTTTCGGTTACCGTGTTGTAGTCCTTATTGGGTATACCCTACCGAAACAGCGAAGACCCAACACTGTTATTACTTTTTCTTCTTATTTTTGCACGTAGATCCTGGCTTATGCTGGAAAAATCAAACAAAAAGCCGTCAGTTGTTCAGAGCGAACTCGCATGTCATATCTCTAAGTTTACTCTTACAAGCGGCTCTGAACAGCATCTTCGTCTGATCTGTCTGTATGAAAAGTCTTCTGTTACAGAATACGAAACTTTTGATGACCCTAATTGACTGAAGGGCTGGCGTTTAAACCATTTAAGGGGGACATCATGGTAACTTCTATTAGACCTAATAGTTGTGTTGTTTTTACTAAATGCTTCGGATTGACAGAGAATGACCTTGGCCATTTTCTGTCATTGAGTTAGGGGAAAGAAAGAGAAAACATATGAGCGTTCAGCATAATAAATTGTCATAGTATCTTTGCGTGGAACTTTAGAAACAAGCAAAAGCGTTGAATGGTTCAAGCAGTCTATCCGGGCGAATTACAAAACTGATTTATTTACGTTGTCTTTGAGCATAATTACATTTATCAATCAATGACCTAAATAGTATTTAATAAATTAATTCATTCGTACATAAACACAGCGTAAATGAGCGTACGGCACTACCAAGCTGAACCGTCATTAAACAATGAATGAACAGGCTCCGTTTTTTGTCAACGAGCACACAACAGCTCCAGTAGTTTCTTAGTTCTATTACAGAATATGTTAAAAGAGCAGAAGTGCTGAGATTGATCAAAACGCGGGTTTGAAACTGATTCCCCCGAATGAGACTCCTTTTTAATCAGATTTTCTATTACTGCTCTGAGATGAACGAACCGAAAGGCAGAGAGACTTACTTCAGCCATTCCAATTGGGGCAGCGTGGAAAAATAAGAAGTAAAAAAAGGAAAGAGCCCCAGCTCTCCGTTTTTGTCCAGCCAAAAAATGTAGCCAATTGCAATGTCTGTGCGTTTCACCGAAGACACTCCGTGGGTCCCAGGCCCTGCCAGAGAAGGTTTACAAACGAGACGCCTAGAGACAGTGTTGCGGTTTTTAAGTGTATTAGTAGTAAAGATAATGGGAGCAGTGGCCTAGCAGATAACTGGACATAAGTACAGCATAAAGCAGTGGCTTAAGTTATATCATTTTCAAAATATCAATCTCAAAATGGTTTATGGCTTTTCCTTCTGTTAAGAATTTCCCTGCTAATTATTAAATCTGGGCTGATCCTTGGCCAGGAAAAAAGAATAGGTAGAGGGAAAAAGCTGGTGAAGACAGAAATTTTTGCACCACATGGGGAGGTACAATGAAGAAGAGGGTGAGGTTAGCTATGATTAAGTATGTCGACATCTTATATCATGACATTTCAAAACAGAAGAAAATGAGTCTTTTAAAAAATATATTTCAAAATATATTGCATTTTTCCTTCATCTGGAACTTTTGTATATATATATAATTTAAAAGTAACGTGCGCTCTGAGTCTTGAATTTCATCCATGCTAGTGGCTAAACGCGTTTAAATGTGTTCATTTTCTCACGGATAATCCTGTTTCCCACCAGCGCTTAATAGCCCTCTTCTAAATGAATGAAGAAATATAAGAAACGTTTCTTCCCAGAAGAGAAGACGCCACTTCACTCGCCGCATGCATTTTCCTAACACACTCAGAAGACAGGTTTTCATTATATTTATAGAGTTTTTGTTCACCGTAAGGTAGCCTATATATGAGGAGGGAAACGAACAAGACTCTCACTTTTCAATTTTCATTTCCGACAGCTTTTTGTTTTCTATCAGGACAAATCCACTTGGTTTTGTACAGTTTACGGGATACGGCATATTCAAATAAAAAGTACCTGTAGTCTTGAATAACACCAGTACTATATTTAAAAATTAAAGAAATGCTCGTTCATTTTATATACTGTAGCAACTCTGTTGATTCACGTCTCCGATCTCCTGCCGTCCGTATACGGCAAAATGTGCAGAAATTGTTTATACAGGTCGCGAACGAGGAATAAATAGATTTATTTAATAGATTAATTGATCTATTTGCTTTCTTCTTTTTTTATGCGTTTTTATATATAATCCATAAAGATGAAGCTCATTTTGCGGTTTTTCTGCTGTTAAAGGAAATTCTGTTTCCTTTGAGACGTTTAAAGTTTAAACAGAAAAACTGAATGTAAATTTTGCAGTGTTTTTTTTTCTGGCTTGTCAAGAGTGTGAATGGGAAACTTTTTTTTTTATAATAATTGTTTTCAAGCAACAATTCCAATATTGTTCGGACGGTTAGGAACTTAAAATGAACTAATTTCCTCGTTCCAGGCCAAATTAAATAAACATTGTAAAGAGTTACGATACTTTAATGCCGCTGTTCTAACTTTCAATATACTTTCTTAGGGCCTTAGATGACACCCTAATGTTCTTGATAAATTAACAACAAAGAGCAAATAGACTACTTGGCAGTACAGTCACTGTGAGAAGTTCAGTCCTGCTTTAGAAACGTACAGTATGACTTATTATCATGCACGAATAACAGCGGTCCTGCTTCATGCTTTGCGAAGTTTGGATCTAGGCTGCTGAAAAACAGGATCAAAATGACAGCTAATAAAAACGCCGCAATTGCACATGAGAACAAAGCATACATATATCGCATATATAACCGATGTCGGTTTCAAAGTCAAGTTTTACAGATATGGTACCATATAGACTTTGAATCTCATATTTGTTTTATTGAATGTTTCTGTAAGAAATAACAGAAATTAAGAACATTCAAATGGCAAGATTGTAAATCATACGTAACAAAAGTAATGAAAGAAAGATTTTCGATGCAGAGACTAATTATTTGAAGTTACACGTATATAACAAGGTGTATGGGCCATCGAATATCATTTTTCCCTTTATTTGTAATCATTCTTACAGGCAGAATAGGGCATCAATGGCAATTCTGTTTGTCTGCAGATATTTGATTATGTTATCTGAATGATATTTAGCAGTAGTGTGTTAGAAATTGACTTTATTGTTCCACTACAGAGGTTCTACAGAC